CCTTTTGTACAAAGTATTAGATAAATTTCAGTAAGCGTGTTCAATACTTTTTTTGATTTCTTTGTATGTATGGATCACTTGGGTTGTTACCAACATCTGGTGAAAATTTCATGTCATTAGCACCTCTAGTAATATATTTACTGAGAAAAATGTTGACGTGTTCAATACTTTTTTTGATTTCTTTGTATGTATGGATCACTTGGGTTGTTACCAACATCTGGTGAAAATTTCATGTCATTAGCACCTCTAGTAATATATTTACTGAGAAAAATGTTGACGTGTTCAATACTTTTTTTGATTTCTTTGTATGTATGGATCACTTGGGTTGTTACCAACATCTGGTGAAAATTTCATGTCATTAGCACCTCTAGTAATATATTTTCTGAGAAAAATGGTGACGTGTTCAAYACTTATTTTACCCGCTGTAAGTGTTGTGAATATGAAGCAAACACTGACCTGTCTATGTTGATTTATCAACATTATGAAATAATATCAAAAGCTATCTAAATTTGACACATTTAATATTTATGTAATTGGCACAAATAAAGACTGGACTGTAGAAAAGTAATTCATAGAAAACTAATTTTCAGCAGTTCCCCTACCATTATCCAAGAGGGAGCACCGCCATCCCAATCAAAGCCCACCCCCCTACGAAGGTACCTGTAATAAATTATTAAACATGTTTACATGTGAACAGTCCTCAGTGGCCAGGGAATACACCGAAGCTGCACTTATCACCCCCTGCTCCCTCGTCACGCTCTGCAGCTCTGGCTTCTGCTGGACATTTGAAACTGAAAGTTTACATTTTTTCAATGTTAATGAATGTAGAACATCATGATAAACATACAGTCATGACCAAATTTATGATAACAAAGAGAGAGCACCGCCGTGGCGTCAGCCTCCATGGAGTTAGTAGATGTGGAGTCATTAGTAGAGTTGAGGGTTGTTTTAGAATGATATTTGATGGACTTTCTTGTTGCTAAAAGTCCTTGAACATTAAAAACTGAATGACTTGTTGCAAAACAGGCAAGCTAGACAAACAAATGGACAGAAAAATGTTGCATGCTGGAGTTGAGCACAGTCAGTGCTGGCAGTCAGAGCTTTATTGAAAATGCATTTCTAATCAGAATATAACAATAACCTCTGAATTTCAAAACTATTTATTTAATAATGTTTGTAAATGGATGCTAAATGGACATCTATGAATATGGATTTTATTCTTTTCATGTCTGATATGGACAGACCTGAAGTATGGAGATATAAATTTAAAAACAAATTTTATTACATGTTCATGCATGGTGCTTCAGTGTCACCATTGTGTGATTGTTTCATGTGAGCATGTACTTGTTTTCTTCTTACATGACACCAAAGATATGTATACTTCCCTGACTGTAACATCTGGGTTTAAAATGATAAACATCAGAAGAATCCTGACAGTCCTGTCCTACTGAACAGGTGGTGAACTACAGCGACTCTCGGACAGCTGAGGAGATATGTGAGAGCTCGTCTAAGATGATCACTTTCATTGACTTGGCAGGACACCACAAATATCTGAAGACCACTGTTTTTGGCCTCACCAGCTACTGCCCTGACTTTGCCATGCTGGTGGTGAGTGCCAATACTGGCATAGGTGAGCTACACCTATATGCACACCATCAGTACAAGTTTACGGTTTAAACAGATTCTGGCTGAGGGACCCAGTAACTGGTTGGTGACATCTGACATGGAACACTTAATATGTTGACATTATAGCCACTATCTCACTTACTGACACTTTTGTAGACTGGTTGACAATTCAAATTAAAAACAAACTTTCAGTTGCAACCGAGCAATCAGACAGTTGGGTTTTGCAGAGCCAAATTAGGAAATGACTGTACGCTCGTCCATCTGTCCGTCCATTTTCTTCCACTTATCCGGGGTCAGGTCRTGGCAGCAGCAGCCTAAGCAGAGAGACCCAGACCTCCCTCTCCCCAGCCACTTGGGCCAGCTCCTCTGAGGGAATCCCAAGGCCTTCAAAGGTCAGTTGAGAAACATAGTCCCTCCAGCGTGTCCTGGGTCTTCCTCTGGGTCTCGTCCCAGTGGGACGTGTCCAGAACACCTCACCAGGGAGGAGTCCAGGAGGCATCCTAACCAGATGAACCACCTCAACTGGCTCCGCTGGACATGGAGGAGCAGCGGCTCTACTTTGAGTCTCTCTCGGATGACCGAGMTTCTCACCCTATCTCTAAGGGATAGCCCAGACACCCTGCGAAGGAAACTCATTTCGGCCACTTGTATCCATGATCTCGTTCTTTCAGTCACTACCCAAAGCTCGTCACCRTAGATGAGGGTAGAAATGTAGACCGACCGGTAAATCAAGAGCTTTGCCTTCTGGATCAGCTCTCGCTTCACCACAACAGACCGGTACAGCGCCTGCATTACTGCAGATGCAGCACCCATCCACCTGTTGATCTCCCGCTCCATTCTACCCTCATTCGTGAACAAGAACCCGAGATACTTAAACTCCTCCACTTGAGGCAGGACCTCCTCCCCGACCCGGAGAAAGCACCCTACAGTTTTCCGGCTCAAGACCATGGTCTCGGATTAGGAGGCACTGATCCTCTTCCCGGCCACTTCACACTTGGCTGTGAACTGCCCCAGTGAGAGCTGGAAATCATAATCTGATGAAGTCATTAGGACCACATCATCCTCAAAAAGCAGAGATGTGATCCTAAGGTCACCAAAACGGATCCCCTCAACACCTTGGCTGCACCTAGAAATTCTGCCCATAAAAGTTAGGAACAGAATTGGTGACAAAGGACAAACTTGGCGGAGTCACACTCTCACTGGAAATGTGTCTGACTTACTACCAGCAATACGGACCAAGCTCTGGCACCGGTCGTACAGGGACCTAACAACCTGTACCAATGGGCCACGTACCCCATACTACCGGAGTACTCCCCACAGGAGTCCCCGAGGGACACGGTCGAACACCTTCTCCAAGTCCACAAAACACATGTAGACTGGTTGATTGAACTCCCATGAACCCTCCAGGACCCTGCTGAGGGTGTAGAGCTGGTCCAGTGTTTCACGACAGGACGAAAACTACACTGCTCTTCCTAAATCCGAGATTAGACTATCTGATGAACCCTCCTCTCCAGGACCCCTGAATAGACCTTACCAGGGAGGCTTAGAAGTGTGATCCCCCTATAGTTGGAACACACTTGGCGGTCCCCCTTTTTAAATAAGGGGACCACCACCCTGGTCTGCCAATCCAGGGGAACTGCCCCCGATGTCCACGCGATATTGTAGAGTCGCATCAACCAACGCAACCCCACAACCTCCAGAGCCTTAAGAAACTCCGGGCAAATCTCATCCACCTCCGGCGCCTTGCCACCGAGGAGCTTATTAACCACCTCAGTGACCTCGGCACCAGAGATTGGAGTGTCCGACCCAGGGTCCCCAGGCTCTGCTTCCTCATGGGAAGACATGCCGGTAGGATTGAGGAGGTCTTCGAAGTATTCGGCCCACCGACCCACAATGTCCCGAGTTGAGGTCAGCAGCACACCATCYCCACCATAAACAGTGTTGGTGGCGAACCCCCACCCCCCACCGAGACACTGGATGGTGGACCAGAATTGCCTTGAAGCCATACGGAAGTCTTTTTCCATGGCCTCTCCGAACCCCTCCCACGCCCGAGTTTTTGCCTTGGTGACAATCCAAGCCACAATCCGCTTGGACTCCCGATACCTCTCGGCTGCTTCCGGAGTCCCACAGGCMAAAAAGACCCAATAGGACTCCTTCTTCAGCCTGACAGCATCTCTCACCACCAATGTCCACCAACGGGTTCAAGGGTTGCCACCACGACAGGCACCGACAACCTTACGCCCACAACTCAGGTATGACGCTTCAACAATGGAGGCACGGAACATGGTACACTCAGACTCAATGTCCCCCACCTACCCTGGAACGTTTTCAAAATTCTCCCAGAGGTGTGAGTTGAAGCTTAGACTGACAGGAGACTCTGGCATAAGTTCCCAGCAGACCCTCACTACACATTTGGGTCTGTCAGGTCTGACCAGCATCCTCCACCACCATCGAAGCCAACTCACCACAGTGGTCAGTTGACACCTCCGCCCCTCTCTTCACCCGAATGTCCAAAACATGCAGCCACAGATCAGATGAGACAACAACAAAGTCGATCATCAAACTGCGGCCTAGGGTGTCCTGGTGCCAAGAGCACATATGGACACCATTAAGTTTGAATATGGTGTTCGTTATGGACAATTCACAACGAGCACAGAAGTCCAATAACAAAACACCGCTTGGGTTCAGATCAGGTGGGGAGCGTTCCTCCCAACCACGCCTCTCCAGGTCTCACTGTCATTACCCACATGAGTTTTGAAGTCCCCCAGCAGAACGAGGGAGTCCCCGTAAGGAGCGCTCTCCAGTGCCCCCTCCAAGGACTCCGAAAAGGGTGGGTAATCTGAACTGCTGTCAGACAAACAACAGTCAGGACCCGTCCCCCYACCCGTAGGCGAAGTGGGGCTACCCTCTCATTCACCGAGGTGAACCCCAACGTACAGGCACCAAGATGGGGGGCAATAAGTATGTTCACTGCTCGGCGCCTCTCAGCATGGGCAACTCCAGAGTGGAAGAGTGTCCAACCCCTCTGGAGGAGACTGGTTCCAGAGCCAGCGCGGTGTCGAGGTGAGTCCAACTATATCTAGTGGGAACCTCTCAACCTCACACACCAGCTCAGGCTCTTTCCCCACCAGAGAGGTGACATTCCACGTCCCTAGCGCCAGCTTCTGTAGCCGAGGATCGGACCGCCAAGGTCCTCGCCTTCAACCACTGCCCAGCACACATTGCACCTGACCCCTACGGCCCTTCCCACAGTTGGTGGGCCCATAGGAAGGGGGACCCACGTCTCCTCTTCGGGCTGTGCCTGACCTGGCTCCATGGGTGAAAGCCCGGCCCCCAGGCACTCGCCAACGTGTCCCATCTCCAGACCTGGCTCCAGAGTGGGGCCCCGGTGACCCGCGTCTGTGTGAGAGAACACTGATTCCATTTATTGTGTTCAACATAGAGGTCTTTGGGCTGCACTTGGTCTGATCCCTCACCTAGGACCTGTTTGCCTTGGGTGACCCTACCAACATAGCTCCTAGGACCATTGGGACACTCAAACCTCTCCACCACCATAAGGTGGCAGCCCAGGGAGAGGAATGACTGTACGTTTTCCTAAAAATGGTACACATGCCTACTTTAAACATGTGATATGTTTACTATGTTCTATTGTGAATGAAATATGGGTTTATGAGATTAGCAAATTATTGCATTATTTTTATACTTGTACATTTAATGCAATGTCCCAGCTTTTTTTGTTGTTGTTGTACATGAGAATAAAGTTGTGATTTTGTTTTGTAAATAATATGACATATACAATGTAAATCCTGTAGTGGAGCTGAGGAGATTGACTTAGATAGAGGTTGCTTCATGATMAAGGATAGAAATGTATTCATTCAATTCAATTCAATTCAAAAAATGTATTAATTTCATTAAAAAATAACTATATACAATAAAAAACAAAGACAATACACAAATCAAAATATAATAAAAGGTAGCAGAAGAAGAAATCTTATAAAGACTGCCCCATTTATCCTCAGAATATATTCAAACAAAACATAATTTACAAAACAGTACTAAATAAAAATAAAAACATCAACTCAAACAACAATTCATATAGCTTCACATTTTACTTTTCCATATACCTTCAGAAAACTAGCTTTTATCTGTTTCTTAAACGTATACATAGATCTGGCATTTTTAAGATAATCTTCCAGACCATTCCACAATCCTATACCCTGGATTAAAATATACCTTGGATTAAAGTACATCGTTCTCTCAAGCAAGTACGAAAATATGGCTTCACAAACATTTCCATCCCCTTAAGATAATAACTGTCTCTCTTAACAAAATTTGCCTKTATGTTGGAAGGTAATAATGAGCCTTGTACATAAACAGTAAAATATTATAATCAACCAAATCATAGAAATATATTAACTCAGAGAAACTTTTTTTATAATCTGTGATGCAAAAACACAGTAGTTGACCTCTCATCCTTGGCTTTGTCAGGACTAACCAAACTCCTAATAAAATAAGTTAGCTTTTTTAAAAAAATAAAATAAAAAAGAAAACTAAAATACTTAGAATCACCACTGGAGGTCAGAAGACAACTGGTTTGAGCTCTGAAGTAAAATTTGGGATTTATTTAGCTCAGAGTATTTGTGTATTGGTGGAAGCTTCTCCATAYTAAAATATGAGATTAGATATTTCTGTGTGTTCAGTGGTTAAGTGAAATAAAATTAATGCTGTTCACAAATATATTGTTTTAAACAAACATTTTAGATTCTCATACAAATTCTCAATATTTGCTGCTTTACCTCAGCAAATCAACTGTAGCTTAGACATGTTTATTTGAAGATTTCTTGTTTTTCTCAAGCAGGATTAGCTGATTTCTTGATTGTACTGAAAAAAGAAAAAACGATATACCATCAATTAAGAAGCAGGTCATTAAAAAGTAATTTACCCTGTGGTCATGTGGATAAGTAAACATGTTTTCTTCTCTTCCCCATCCAGCTGGTACCACCCGGGAACACTTGGGCCTGGCCATGGCACTGAAGGTTCCCATCTTTCTAGTTGTCAGTAAAGTGGACCTGTGCTCCCGAGGCACCGTGGACCGAACTGTGCGTCAGCTGGAGCGAGTTCTGAAGCAACCGGGCTGCAACAAGGTGCCCATGGTGGTGTTGAACCCTGACGATGCCGTAACTGCTGCGCAGCAGTTCACACAGTCCACATGGTTGGTCTGAACACGGCACATTCTGACCCCAACATACCTGATTTATATAAAAAAACTGGTGTTTGATGCTACTGCGAGTGTAACGGTACACACAAGTCACAATATGATGCATACCCTGGTATCGGGGTCAGGGTGTGGGACAAGTTCAGCATCACAGGAAAGAGAAACAAATGCCAGATGCTAGTTTTTTATTTGGGTTTGTTTAACCCAGGGGTCTGCAACCTTTACAATCAAAAGAGCCATTTCTGCTACTGACGCAGTAATAAAAGAGCCGCAAAATAAGCTACAACTTTGATTATCAACTGGTGGTCTGTGGGCCTTTTCAAGGCCTTTTTGGGAACTTTTATGGCCAGTGAAGGTGACATTATAAAACTAAAAAATATATTGCGAATTTTATTTTTTATCATTATTTTTACCCATCAGGACAAATAAAAAGACTATATTCATGTAAACAAGAAAAATACTTTATATAGTTTATTCCTAATTTCATAAAAAATTGTACAACTCAATTATTCAGGCTTATTTTTTCTAATTCTTATTGTGTAGTTTTTAATATTCGTTAAAGGTAATTCTGATGGATTTGAGAGAAAGACAAAAGTTGGATTATTTAAGTAAACAACAGGCTAGCACAAGCTAACATGTTTTACTTTTTGTATTAGTAGCATTGATCACCTATTTGCTTACAAATTGATTTCTATTGTGGGTATAAAAACAAAAACAAAATTCTGTTATGTTTGGTCACATTTTCAAAGAGCCACTGTAGAGGGACCAAAGAGCCACATGTGGCCCCAGAGCCGCAGTTTGCAGACCCCTGGTTTAACCCATAAAAGTGTCCCAGAAGAAGAAACAGAAAAACAAACCAGAAGGTCATGTACAAAAAAGTAGGATTTTTTTCAACCAATAGCTTCACTATGAAATAAAAAAATCACATTTTACCATATTTTATTTATTTTTTCATCTAATCTGAGCTGTAAACAGTAACTTGTGTGTCAACTTGCTACAAAGTACAAAGAACTGAAGAACATCTCCCACTGTGAAAATATCAACCAAATAAAACGTAGAACACGCAAAACCAGCTTCTCAGGACTAGTGTGAAAAAATGACGCTGTGTTTTGGAAATTGAATAAATTTACATTGCAATTGCTTGGCTAGCTTTAGTACATTTATAGGGCTAATTACATAGCAKAACTGCTTGCCACACATGCCTCTCTTTTCTCCCTTTGCAACAGCTGGATCTTTTTCCACACATCTGTTTATAAATCAGTCTCTGCTCAGTGTTATTAGAGCACATTGTAGTTTTCCTCTGCCTTTTTCTGTTGTGTCTGTTAGCAGAATGCAGCATCTCTAATACCTGTACTGAACTGTCGTGGTACCAGAACACAGTTACACCTCTAGCTGCCACACAGCTCAGTACTAAGATAACTTTTTCTATTTACTATTCCTAAGGCTAAAGTTTTCACTGATGGCTTACGTTTTTATTTTTGTAATGATTAAAATTTTTTTTTTGTGTGCGCGTACAGTGTCACGCCCATCTTCACCCTGTCCAGTGTGTCCGGAGAGAGCCTGGACCTCCTGAAGGTCTTCCTGAACATCCTTCCTCCACTCAGCAACAGCAAAGAGCAGGAAGAGCTGATGCAGCAGCTCACAGAGTTCCAGGTAAACAAGCAAAAACTCACAACACAAACATTTTTCCTTCTATTTTTGCAAAGTAAAAGAAGTTTGTTGAGATAACTAATGTTACTCCATCACTAGCTTTATCACAATACCATATTATAGCAGTTTGTTTGGATGTCGATATAATGTTTCTCARTAKCACAAAGTCCGTCACAATACGAGTTTGATTCAGTTAAAGTCTGTAATCGATATGATGCCGTCATATATCGATCCACAATGGGCACATGGATCGATGTTTTTCTTTCTGCCTTGATGTAATGGAATCATTAAACCTTTAATAGCTATATGGATGTAGATTATGTATTGTTTCAGCCCTAATTTACTGTACAAAAACATGGATCCAACTTTAAGTGAAAATTGTCTCAGTAAAGTTCCTAATGTCAGACTGCTTCTGAGAAGATGATGATGTTTAACTTCATGTGGTCAATTTTGTAGATTCACATTATGTTGGATTTGGCTGGGCCCTCAGTTTATTTTTTCTTTAT